GAAAGTAGTGCTGACATCCCTTACACATTTACATTTTTCTGGCTTTTTTCTGATATTCTGGTTATTTTTCATCAGAAACAAAGAAGTTTCCTTATTTGGATGTTGCCCTGTACCCTGAACATCATCATCAACAGTGGGAACCATTTGTATTTTTTTCTGATTTTTTTGGTGATTATCTGGCTATCATTGGATAGATTACCATATTTGGAACTAGACCCTGAACCCTGAAAACAACCCAACATCATCACCACCATCCCCCAATTTTTCCTAATTTTTTGAGTATTTTTAGATAGATTACTATATTTGGATAGACCCTGGACCCTGAAAACAACCCAACATCATCATCACCATCCTCCAATTTTTCCTGATTTTTCGGGTATTTTCTGGCTATTTTTGGATAGATTACCATATTTTGACATAGCCCCTGGACCCTGAAAACAACCTAACATCATCACCCCATCCCCCAATTTTTCCTGATTTTTCGGGTATTTTCTGGCCATGTTTGGATAGATTGCCATATTTGGACATCCCCTGGACCCTGAAAACAACCTACCATCATAACCACCATCCCCCATTTTTTTCTGATTTTTCTGCTATTTTATTGCTATTTTTCCTTTAGATAAGCACACATTTCCATATTTGGCAATGTGCCCTGGACCCTGAAAACAACCACATTTGGAAGTGCGCTTTTGGACCCTGAAAACAGTGAGCAAGCCGTGGGAATCAGTGAGCACCAAGGCTGGCTCTAGGGAGCTCAGCAAGGCTACCTTCCTGATTAGGAAGGTTGGTCAATTGACTGCTGTGATGCATAGGTAGACTTAGTCAATAGACTATACCTGATACATAGTACTGGCAGTATCAGGTGTAATACGCATGATTGGGGATACTGATGGTTCCACAGATGTTTCGACTGCAATCACTCTGCGGAGGGAGATGTTGGAATCCATTGAACACAAATTTTCCGCACTTCAGATGTCCGACGACCTCCAGTGGCCACTTATCACCTCGGATGGGACACCTCGTCCTCGGCCAAAGATAGAACGCCCTGGAAGATTCAACGTCGATCTGGAGTCCGATGATGATGATGCAGAAGACAGTGCCTTGCGAGAAGAGACTTTGATTCAAGCTTACTGGACCTCTATCCGAGAAAAATATCGCTCACAACGCCTTGACGTTCAATCTCTTTCGACCTCGGAGACGGGGGACCTTCCCGAGAACTGGATTGTAATCAACATTAATATCACAGACGATAAGAGCGCGTTGTTCATCTCACGACGAGAAGGCGGAGTCGAAGGAAACCAACCACTTGTATTCTGCGTGCCTCTGAAAGGAAGGAGAGATAATGGAGATGACGACGAGGAAGACCATTTGGGATTCGACGATGCTATTGGCGAGTTGCGCGAGATCGTAAGGTTGAGTGACGAGGGTACCAAGACAGCCGTCAACATCAAATCCGATGACAAAGAGGCTCGCGTGAATTGGTGGAAGCTACGGGGTGATCTGGATACGAGGTTACGCGAGCTGCTTGAAAACATCGAGTTTTGCTGGTTGGGAGCGTTCAAGGTTAGTGGGTTCTGTCTTTTGACTGACATGTATTAACAATGTATATCAGACAATCCTTAGTCCATGGTCGGACACAACTCCAGAGATGATTTCGGATCTCCGGGCACAATTTGACAAGATCTTTCAGCGAAGCCTTCATGTCAAGGACAAGAAAACGAAGCAGCGCCGGTAGTGTGGCGGGAATTAGGCTCTTGTAATTTGCAGGTGCAAATTTGCCCTGCAAATTTGCGCTAATTTGCTGATCAAAGCTACAAGCCCAAAACCAGCATGCAAATTAGGGCAAATTAGCGAGGTCTTGGGTGAGAGAACAACGGCAGGTTTCGGCGTCATTTTCTGTTAATGGGCATGCTAATGGCTTCGTCGAGGTCGATTTTGAGCGACGTTTGTGAATTCGAGTAACTCGGGATTTTGCTAGTCTCTCCTAGACAGACTTCAATATATGTGAAGTCGTACCTTGGTTCACGATATATGAAGGATTTTGCTCCATCTGACCCACAAACTCAATCACGTAAAACTAGTGTTGCCAAAGTTCAGTTCAGTTCAGTTCTTTGGCACTTTTCGAGAACCGAGAACTGGACTGACAACCTCTGAGCAGAACTGAGGACTGAACAGGACTGAACCGGTAAGAACCGTTCTTTCCTGTTCAGTTCCGTTCAGTTCTCAGTTTGAACTGCCGAACTGGCGGGAAAAAATGGTAATTTGTCTCCATAAGGGGGATTATGCACTCTAGCAACTACTAATATAGCTACATTCTGGCTGAGCATCAGCCTCAATTGAAGCGTCGAGAAGGCGCGTTTTGTAAGTGTGCTTGAAAATTTGCACCCAGCCAAAAAGAAGTGGCTCCATGCGATTATTAAGTACACACTCGAAAAAGCTCGTTCAGAAGCTACAGAGGAGCCAATGACAGTAAGCGCGCACACACGCCAGTCAACTTTCATCGCTGACCTTTCCCTGGGACTTCATCTCAAATCCAACATTGTGCAACCTCACGAACACGGCGGTTGGCAAGGACGACGGTTTGCTTTTATTCTTATGGACAATAATAATGGCCTCGTACAGCAGGTAACCAGTAAGCCTTCATTTTTGTTATTGATAATGACCACGTATCTACGAGGGGGGTCTCTAGCTGTCAATCCCACGAAATCAATGATTAGCTTCGGCAACAAGTCGCGTGCACTTGAGTCCGGACAACGGCATCCTCGACGATCATGCTCACGAGAAAATGACGTGGCTGGACGCAACGTCGATGACATGGCAAGTTGGCGGATGGAGCTGGCAATGGCGGTACAGGAACTTCGGGAAGTAGGGGAAAGATGTCGGCTAAGCGGGGAGAAAGAGCTCGTCGTCGTGAATGAGAATAACTAACTTACCTTTGTGAGTAGACAACGCCTTCTAGAATGATAGAAATCAATGTTCAGCCTCAATAAGAGTAGGCTGTCCACAGGTTGTGCTACCCAACTGTGCAGAGACGACGCGGACAGGAGAAGGAGCCGCAGAAGTGTTGGAAGGGACGTTGGACAGGGAAAGTTATAGTTTGTCGTTCTGGATGCCAGAATCTTCAACTCACCATGCACGCGTGTTGGACAGATACCATTGTGTGGATATAAAGATGGCAACGAGACCTTGACAAACCTATAAGGTGGAAATCAGCACGACAAATGGTGATGTTGAAGCAGGATTATAGATCCCCAGGGAATTGGTTATTTTCCTCAGCCACCCTAACGTTTTTTGAGAGGATCTTGACGCACTTTATCCCAACTCGTTGAGCCGGGGCTTTCCCTTTCAAGGCGCTATAGTCGGTGAGAATGTTGCGTTGACATCATGATGAAGGTTTGATGATATGGCATTAGCCGGCACACATTGAATCTCCGAAACAGCCCAAAAATTCGTCGATAAAATATACAAGACATATACATGTTCAGTTCAGTTCGAACGGGTCCGAACCCAGTTCTCAAAAATTTCCAAAGGGCTGAACCGTGAACTGGAACCGACACCCCCAGCCCGAACAGGAACCAGAACTGTAACCGAACCGTCAGTTCAGTTCTGCCAGTTTGGTCCGAACTGTCAGTTCGGGACTGAACTTCGGCAACACTACGTAAAACCTACTTTGAAAGTCGTTCCATACGCCCGCCGTCAAATGTGCACCTAAAGAAATTCTTTAGACTCAAACAGCACGCAAGTAGTCATCAGTAAATAAGTTCCCTCCTCGCCATCGTTGATCCCCCCGTGCAGTTACTTGTGCACATAACAAAAAAGTTGGTCAAGCAGACCCTAATTTGCGTGAATTAGCTAATTTGCCCTATTTTGCGGGGCTAATTTGCGCAAATTAGCCTGGGCTCCCGGGAGCTGCGCCCCCGGACCCCTGCCTGCAAATTTGCCGAAATTTAGGGTGCAAATTAGGGCCTCTTTGAGGCCCAAGTAAATTTGCTTGGGAGAATTAGGGTACGGGGCTATTTCCCGCCACACTAAGCAGCGGGCGGGAAACCACAAGAAAACTGCATCGCAGGCACAGGCACCCAGTCAAATGACGCTCGACGATCTGATTCTCAAGTGTTTCTCCACATTGTCACCGAAGTGCAAAGATGAAGAGCTCGAGGATCTCATCTACTTCATCCTGGACCTCTACTCGTTCCATGGCGTTCCAGTCGCTATTGCAGAAGTCGATATCGCTCAGCTGGTGGTAGACCTTCGGGCTGTGTTGGAAGAACACGCGGCGAAACTTCGGCAGTGGAAGAAGACAATTACAGGAAAGTCGACCACTTCATTGGCGAAGGATCAGGACGAACACTTGTTCTTGGTCCTTGACAAGAATGTTCAAGGGATACCCTGGGAGAGCATACCGATTCTGAGGGGGCGAAGTGTCAGTCGAATCCCGAACATCGAGTTCTTGTACGACAGGCTTGCATTCGCAAAGTGGAAAAGACAGGGCGAGCTTGTGGAGGACGAATTAATCACTGGAGCGGTCATTGATCCTCGAAAAGGATACTTCATCTTGAATCCCAGTGGCGATCTAGCTCGAACTGAAGGTCGATTCCGGGATTGGGCTCATGGGATGAAGAAAGCTGGGTGGGATGGTGTGATTGGCCAGGCTGTTAGTGAGCAGCAGTTTGTGAATGCGCTGAAGACGCAGGACTTGGTTGTGTAAGTATTCTTTCTTGTTCGTTCAAATGTTACTGATATGAATGGTTCTATGGTAGTTACTTTGGCCATGGAGGTGGAGAACAGTATATCCGATCTCATAGGATTCGCAGCCTTCCGAAATGCGCTGCAACTATGCTTTGGGGTCGTTCGTCGGGTGCTCTCCGGGAGTTGGGTGACTTTGATAGGACGGGAACACCTTACAATTACATGCTCGCTGGGTGGTACGTGTTCGAACTGTCCCCCGCTTCACTTACCATTAATGCCATCTTTTATCAGTCCTACGCTCGTCGCGAACTTGTGGGACATCACGGACAAGGACATTGACAAGTTCTCTCAATCCGTCTTTGACAAGTTGCGTTTGACTCCTGCGGATGATAGCAAATGGAACGAACCCGGCAAGGAATCCCACGCTTCTCCTTCTCTATCTCTGGTGGCTTCTGTGGCACAGTCGCGGGATTCATGCAAGCTGAAGTACCTGACCGGAGCAGCTCCGGTGGTGTACGGTATACCATTTTATATTTGATCTCGGATCGAACATTATCTACTCGACATTGTACCGTTTAACATTTATTATAGATGTATATTTCAGGGCTTGCCCAAGTAGAGCAGCCGAATATCGCATTGTCTTTTATTATGACTTCATGATCATCCATATCGTTGTGTTGCAAACTTTACCGCCTTGCAACTCATCAGACGAGGCTCATGGTGTACATCATATGGAGATACTAGACTTGAACAATCATCCGGCCATAACCTCGAAGACAAGAAGACGACTAGACGCGATTCGGATAAGGCCTTGTAAACAGGATATATCATAGACAAACGTTACCTGCTGTTGTTGAAGTCGCATTTGAGGATCCCGTTTTCGAGGGAAAAGCGGGACCCGCAATGGCGGTTTCCACATTCGGGATGCGAGGTTTCCTCGATCGGGTTCACCTCGCTTGAACAGATGAGGGGGTCGACACAGGGACTGAACGGAGAGGGGGACTGAGGTCCAAACAACCCAGGTGGGAGTTCAGGGATGCCTGAGGGCGAGAGCAGACCGGTGATCCCAAAGAGGAGGAGGGGAGACAGGGATCAGAGGGGAACGGGGAGAGAGCGGGAAAAGAGGATTCATTCGTGTGACGCTATCTACGCTATCGAGGACTCCGCGAACACGGATAGCCGGAGAGAGGTTACCAGCCGCGTGACGGAGGTGACGGCGCGCGCCAAAAGGGAGGGTTGCCAGAGGACACGTGACGTAACCCGGGTCACGTAACCAGGCGTGATACACATTGATATGTGTACGTGACTGACGCGACGCGTTCAACTTGTACTCAACGTCGACCACGATGATCAGCAGTTTCGATTTATGAATAGAGGTAGAGGCTCTTCAAGAGCTCGATAGTTACGACATACCACACGACTATGATCTCACAACAGAGGATCCGGAGCGGCTTCTTGAAGGTGAATATCTCATTTCCAATCCCACTCAAAAATCTGACGATTTGGTAGCTGCCGTGGAGGCTGTTGCCGACTCCAGCAGCGCAATTACGGATGAACAGGTCTTTGACATCTATAGGTGTCTGCTTAAACACGCAGACGCGGTCTCTGGCTCCGTTATGAGCAAGCTTCTCGACTCCATTTCCTCTGGCCTCTTAGCGGAATTAGAGGCTACTATGCGTGATGTGGAGTTGGGAGATCAGCAATCGTACATGGCGCATAAAACGCCGTTGGAGTTGTACGCGTTTTTGCTGCAATGGTTCGTTACGGCGGCTGAGAAGGTCAAGGCCACTGAGGATGGCGATGCGCCACCCCCAGCAGCGGCTACCAAGGGCAGGAGAGGGAGGGGAGGGAAGGCTGGAGCGGGGAGAGGGGCAGGTCGTGGAGCTGCGAGCAAGAAGAATGAGGCGTGGACTTGGCAGGACCAGATCCCTGCGACACTTGGGCTGATTGTCAAAGTTCTGCGTCTTCAGACGCAACGTATTTGGACGACGACTGCTGAAAGGGAAGACTTTATCAAGTGCGTTGCTATTTTCTGTTGTTCGTTTATCTTCTAACATAACTGTAGAACCATTACAAGACCCGCATATCACGTCGCTGAAAACGAACAATACATGAAAAAGTCAGATATCAAGCTCTGGGTCTACAAGGTCATCTGTCTCTCCGTGAAACACCATGGTCAATCTTTTGCTGTTCACATCAACATCATCCAATTTCTTACATTCTTCGAACACCTCTCCGAGCCCATGGCAGAGTGCCTCACCGTCCTCGCTGGGGAGTACGACCATGCTCAAGTCGGGGACGAAATCCTCCGCGACATCGCGGGCAAGACTTTCAACGCGCAAGATAGCAAAGGCCCTCGTGCATTCGCGAGGTTCCTCGTCAAATTCGCAGAACTCGCTCCACGCGCAATACTCAAACAACTCAGCCTCCTTCTAGACCAGCTAGATTCCGAGGTTCGTCTTGCTTCTTCCTGATGTTCACCACCTGACGAGTACCTATCCTACGCACCAGTCGTACCCAATGCGCCAAGCCCTAGTTGAAGTCATCGGCTCCATCATCACCGAGCTCTCAAACACAAGCACAGACAACGACAACTCTAAAACCGCCCAAAAGCAAATAAGCGGACTCTTCGACCTTCTCCTCGAACGCACGCTCGACATCTCCTCATACGTGCGCACGAAGCTCCTCCAAGTTCTCGCAAAAATGTGCGACTTGAAGCCCAAGTTTCCTAAACAGCGCTTGGCGATTACGGGTGCTGCCATTGCTGCGCTGGCGGATAAGGGTGCGACGGTGAGGAAGACGGCTGCGGCACTTTTGGTGAAGCTGTTGGAGACGCACCCGTATCGCACGCATGGGGGTATGTTGCAGCTTGATGTGTGGCAGGCGGAGTATCAGGATGTTTGTAAGGAGTTGGAGAAGATTGAGGGGAAGATTGGGAATGCGGTTGAGAAGCCGGAGGGGGAGGAGGAGGAGGACGAAGAAGAGGAGGGTGAAGGGGAGGAGGGTGAATCTGGAAGAAAGAGGAAGAAATCGAAAAAGTGATTCATATGCAGTTTGTGTGTGGATTAAACTGACGGTTCTCTTTTACTAGGACAAAGGCCAAGAAAGAAGATTCGATGGATGTAGATACCGAACTAGAAGAGAACGAAGATGAAGACGAAGAGAGCGACGAGGAAGACGAGGACGAGGACGACGCGAAAATGGCCGTGGACGACGACGACGAGAACGCCACGCCCAAGAAAAAGCCCAAGAAGAAAAAGAAACATTCAAAGCTCAAACCCCGCAAATCTCAATTGAACGTGGCTGCCGTTACCGAGGAACAAGCCGTCCTGGCCGGGCTGGAGGGTCAAGAGCTTCAGCTGATGAATTTGCGCAAGAAATACTTTGTCGAGGGATTGGCGTTTATTCGTCAGATTGAGAGTGCAATGGAGCCGATGGGGTTGCTTCTAGGATCGAAGAATAAGCTGGAGGTTGCTGAGGCTATTGAGTTCTTCAAGGTTGCGCATGATTATGAGTTTGAGAGTGCCAAGGTTGGTTTCGGTTTTTTTTGGAGGTGAAGTGATTTGGAACTTATGTTCGTTTGTAGGTTGGGATTAGGAAGATGCTCCATTTGATATGGGTAAAGGATAACAACAATTCTGGGCCTGCGGAGGAGGCGAAGGAGGGTAAAGGTGTTCGGCAGAAGCTGCTCGATTGTTATCGCGGATTGTACTTTGAAGCCATCGAGGGTCTGCAGCCGAAAGAGCAAGTCAGCCGTATCGCGAAGAATTTGGTAGAGTGCGTCATCCCTTCCCCTTTCCCTTCTTTTTTACGAAGGTTCTTACGACAATTTCATTCCACTAGGCGAACCTACGAGACCACTTTGGCCGAACTAACAAGTCTGGAGGAGATGATGCGTATTATGAGTGAAGAGGAGCAAATTCATCAAGATGTCATTTCCAAACTTTGGCAGATTTATAGTATGTCCACTTTGCAATATGGCGCTTCTTTATCCTTACATTCCGTCATACAGGTTCTAAACAAAACATTCCGAGCCAGCAGCGTCGTGGAGCCATCATCATCTTGGGCATGCTTGCCTTGGGAAGACGCAGCGTCCTGAGTGATCGCGTTGACACTTTACTCAAAGTGGGTTTGGGATCGTTGGGCAAGGTGAAATCTTTTTGTCAATCTTATTCGGTATGAGCTAATGCGAACTATAAGGCTGATCTTACCTTGGCTCGATACACCTGTGTGGCCTTGCAGCGATTGAACGGGAGTGCTAAGAAGGTCAAAGGTATGTCTGGTGTAGAGTCAAGGGGATGCATGGATTTGACTAACACCATGACAGGTTCCCTCCTCGACAAAACCATGCGCATCGAGATGACCAACCCCATCTTCCGCAAACTCCAAGATGCCGTCAACCATCCCTGTCGATCTCGAGAATGGTTCGGGTTCGCCGAGCAGGTTATCAACACCGTATATGCGCTTGGCGAGCATCCAGACGTGTTCTGCAATGAGCTCATCAAGAAATTCACTATCAAAGCTTTCACCCCTCGTGCTCCCAAACCTGCTGTTCCTAAAGCCAATAACGAGACGCCAGAGACGGACCCTGATGCTATGGCTGAAGACCACCCAGGAGACGTTACCCAAAACTCATTGGAAACGGCCACGCAGGACTCGACTCCAGGAACGCAACAGGGTGATAAGGAGAAGGATGTCGGCGATGCTTTTGAGCTGAGCCAGCTTCTTTTCATTGTGGGACATGTGGCTATCAAGCAGATTGTGTTCCTGGAACTTGTTGAGCGGGAGTGGAAGCGCCAGAAGGACGAAAAACAAGCTGGTAGGTGTCTTATTCGTCCTATATGATTTCGTCAAGTAACCATTCATGTATGCAGCCGAAAAGTTGGCAGCAAAAGCAAAAGGCACTGATAAAGCCTCCAAGGATGGCGAGGAGCTTGATCAAGTTGCTGGTAATGCAGAGGACGAGATTGGAGACCGCGTCGCAGGTGTTCGTGAAACGGAGATGCTCTACGGCACTGACTCTCTTTTGGCGATGTACGGCCCCATGGTCGTCCATATTTGTGGTAGCCCCCACAAATTCAAGGTTCGTGCACTGTTCTAGTACGCATTTCTGGCTAACCTCAATCTTGTTTGCAGAGCCCGACACTGCGAGCAGCTGCAACGCTATTATTCAGCAAGTTCCTCTGTGTCAGTTCACAATTCTGCGACCAGAACCACCGGCTATTATTCAAAATCCTCGAAACGTCCAAAGACGCTAACATCCGGAGTAACATCGTCATCGCGTTGGGCGATGTCGCCGTGTCCTTTAGCAACATCATCGACGAGAACAGTAACGAGCTGTACAAGGGCCTTTCGGACGGCAGCATCATCGTCAAGAAGAATACGCTCATGGTTTTGACGCATTTGATCTTGAACGGGATGATCAAGGTGAAAGGCCAGCTTGGGGAGATGGCCAAGTGCGTTGAAGATGAAGATGCACGTATTGCGGATCTGGCGAAGCTGTTCTTTAGCGAGCTGTCTACGAAGGAGAACGCGATCTACAATAACCTCCCTGATGGTAAGTTTTTTTCGTCTGACGCTCACTATGGGATACTGATTTTGTTTGGATAGTGATCAGCCATTTGTCGACGGGTGATCATGCCGTTGACGAAAAGACTTTCAGGAGTACACTCCAATACATCTTCACCTTTATCGAAAAGGTCCGTTTCTCGAGCTGGCTGTCTTGATATGCAGTGCCTTACCATCACGTACCCTAGGAAAAACAAGCAGAGAACATCGTCGAGAAGCTATGCCAGCGTTTCAGGCTCAGCGAAGATCCTCGTCAATGGCGCGACATCGCCTTCTGTCTTTCCCTCCTCCCATTCAAGTCGGAGCGATCAGTCAAGAAGCTGATCGAGGGCTTTCAGTTCTATCGGGATAAACTACATGAACCTCAGGTGTATGAAAAGTTTACAGAGATTCTGGCAAAGGTACGGTCTTTCGAGCAGTTTTCAGGGTTATGACGCTTACCTCTTTTTCTACAGGCACGTTCTAATAAATCCAAGGATAAGCCGGATAATGAACTCAATGAGTTCGAGCATGTATGTTCTGATCGCATGTTGTTCGTAACGTCGCTGACCGTCGATGATTACTTAGCTTCTGGAAGAACACAAGAACCAAGGAGAGGAAGACCAAGCGCTCGAAAAGCGTGTAGAGAAGAAAGCTGCGAAGAAACGGGCCTCAAAACGAAGTACGCCATAGCCCTTTCATTGTTTTGCCGGTACCCATGGACTGATCAGTAACTTCAATAGCTACCCGGAAGAAACCTGTTCAAGCCGAGGAAGAGTCGGAGTAAATTGCGCTGTTCGATTTTTGTATAATTTATTACCATGAACGACTGGGATCTTTTCTGTATGACATATTGTATCGTAGTAAAAACCAGTATTTAATGGCATATGTAGATCTATTGGCAAAATCCGGGGACGGATTGCTCGAGCCAACCCAAGGAAGGAGGCATGTTGATTCTGAATGTCGAATTTGGCCATGGAAGTGGGGAGAAGCATGTAAGTGCAGTTTGTATCGTAGAAGACGAATGAATGAAATGAGTGTCGTGGCTTTAAAAGAAACCATAGTTCGCTATATGTGGAGATAAGCTATGAAAAAAAGGACAGTGAGGGCGAAGAGAACGCCAATAGCTCTACGATCGAGAGAAAGTCCAGAGAGTCAGAGAGAGAGACAAATCGTATATAGATACAAAAAAGATACGCGTTCGAAAGGAAAAGAAAAAGGTATACTGAGTGAGAGAGATCGATCAAATGAGCGTGGTGGTGGTGGAGAGATAGTTAAATTGAGTGATAATGAATGATGGAATTTATGAGCCGGGTATTGCTTATGCTAGCGTGATTTGAGTTTGAGTGAGTGAGTGAGGTCTGGGTGTGGGATGCGTCGTTTGATACAGTATATGGATGTGGATGATGGATGAGAGGATGCAGGGGTCTCTTTTCTTGAGGTGGGTCTTCTTCCAACTTCCAGCAATGGTGTGGTTTGGAGGTAGGGATGCGTGGGTAGGTGGAGAAGGACGGGAGGGACCGCGGTAGCGGATGGTGGCTTGCCGTATGAACGAACGAACGGCTTAGGGAGGTACAAGGCTGGCGGGTGATAGAGGAGGGAGATAAACGACGGCGTAAGAGGCGGAGGCGGAGGACGAGAACCGCATCAACGGTTCAGGGAAGGAGGGTACAAGAGCTGGGCCGGCGAGGAGATAATCGATGGCGTGCAAGGTAGCAACCGCGTCTATTCAGCCTCAAACCTCGCACCCCCCTCACCACCCCTCATAATAGCCTTCATAAAATCAAAGAACCGTTCCGCATATTCCCCAGGCGGAACCGGGCTAATCTTATGCTATATCCCAAAAAAACATCAACATCAACATTCTTCTTTTTTCCCAAGGGAAGAAACTCACCCGATCAGCTTTCAACCCCTTCCACAAATGCTCAACCCTCTTCACAAGCGAATAAGGCGTCAAAATATCAATAACCCCAAGATAATAAATCACATCCAGCCCTTCATTCCCCTCATCCGTCGCCCTCAACCCTCCTTCGTCTTGATAGAATATCAGTTGCAGTCGATCCCCAATATCTTCTTCTGGAAGTCGAATGGTATGTTTGCCTAGGCGCTTTGGATCGGACGAACGCATGGCCCGACGCATAGCGATGGCTTCGGGGGATTTATGGCCGCCCGACATGGTTTTTGAGCGGCCTAGAGAGTTGGGTAGGTCCGGCTACACATAACGGATGGGTGAGCCCAATATCGTTAAGGAGAAAGAAAGAAGAGAAAACCCACCGAAAAAACCTTCAACATATTCCTCCTAACATTATCCCTATTCCCCCTCTGCATATTATGTATCCCCACAAGCAGACTATAATCCATAATATTCACCCCCCTCAAAAACTCTGCGTCCCGCCTAAGTTGTTCCGTCAACAACGCCCTTTTCTCCGGTCCCAAATCCAACGCCTTCCCCCTCTTTATCCAATTCAAATCTTTCAGCACCGCCCGGGGGTTCCGTGCAGCTTTATCTTCGGGGTACTCACGACCCACCGTACTCCCCTTTAAATCATACGTCTCGTGGATGTCTTTATGGGGCGGGAAAAGGTTGTTCATGATGACGAAATGGATTTCTTGCCCCGGGGAAGTTTGACGCGGTGTAGGCCTTAGAATCGACTCAAGAGCGTATGTGGGTTTTCTTTGACGTGGTCAAAGTATTGGGGTAGGATGGACAAGAGGAATTTATGTTCAGAGTGTCGGATGGTTTTGATTATGAACCTATAGTCCCTCGAAAAATAAAAGAACGAGCCCGATTTTCCGGGGGACCCAAGTTCGGATAAGATGTATTTTGCGGTGAGGGAGAGGAGGTAGTCTGCGGGGTCCAGATGGAATATGTCTTCCCTTAGTGTCCGAAACACCCAAGGCGCGTAATCCTTGAACTTGAAATCGTATTTTGCAGACGGAGTCAGCTCGTTTCCGACGATATCGAATGAAAACTTGTGACGCGCGGTAAAGTCTTCTATCGTCAGTGGTCGTTTTATTTTAGCTTGACATCGAGACACCTACACGACTTCATTCAGCGTGTATCATGAATAAAGAAAAAAAGAAAACCCACCCCGATACGTATACCCGTCAACATATTATACATCAACACATAATTGACATGATCCTCCCCAATAAGGTTGCCCACAAGCGGCATATCCTGCTCAGACTTGGGCCTCGTCTCAGCACGGGTAAGCGCCGCCTCCACTTCTTGTTGCAGCTGCTGCTTCGCCCTCTTCTCCATCCTCTCCCTCCTAATCTGCTCCGCAGCAATCTCAATATCAGACGCCAGCTCAATCCCCACTTCACCGATATACGACGCATCCTCTGGGGAATGCGACGACGACCCATATTGCCTCGTGTGTGTCTGATGGTGACCGCGCTTGAAACTGGCTGCAACGGGGCTTGAGCCTGTTGTGTTTCGACGAGTTGGACGCATGGGTATGATGGCGACCGGAGGCTGGAGGTACGGATCGTATGCTGCTGATTTTGATGATGATTCGCCGGCGGCGGTGGGGGGAGAGGCATAACGAAGAGTTGGAAGTGAGCCTTTCGTATCGGTTGAGGCCCTGTGGAGGGTAGTGTCGAATGTGGATGACCTTGCTGTCAATCGAGAAGATGTGGATGATGCTTGGTTGCACCGTTTCCGTCGTCACCGACTTTGTCACCGTCGTTAGTAAAATAGCTATCTTGACCAGCAGGCCCGGTTTCTACCTCCACCTCACTGGTCACCATGATAATCTGAGTTGGGTCATTGTTGGTGCTGTCGTCACCATCTCGGTTAGTGATGGTGTGAGGAGACGACGCAGTGGACGTCGTAGACAGCGGAAGAGATTGGCGCGAGGCAGCGGCAGAGACGGGGGCGGTCTTGTAAGATGTAGCTGACGATGACAGCATGCTGCTGTGGGTTGAGAGGAGGCTCTGCCTGTAAGCAGGCACAACGATTGGCGAAGGCGAACGACGGGTGGGCGAAACGGCAGTGATTGAAGAAGCCATCGTCGTCCAGCGTCGAGGACAGAATATAAAAGAGGATGGCGGCGAACGGTAAGAAAGCAGTGTTCGCTGAATGACATAACTTTAGCGTCTTGTGAAAGATAGAGAACGGACGAAGGTATTTAAATACAGCAAATATTTACATAAATAGAAGAAATTCGTGAACACGAATACTTCATACCGACGCACATACACGGAATGGCGGGTTCTCGGCCGCCAGGCATCAGACCCTAGTGCACGAATTACGCCCCCTTATGCGACATCCTGTGGAATGGCTTCCCGCGCACGGTAACCACAGAAACGATGGCGACTAACTCCCAAACCCATGCTCGACGTGGCCGATATCAGGGGTTGGGTGAAGTTGAAGAAAACGTCAAGCGGAAGAGGTACACGACGAGCGAGGTGGTGAGTGCGAGAATTGCTTCTGTCGTGCGATATTCTTGACAAGGCTGCAGCAGCTTTCTGGGGTGCCATAATCCATTTCCTTTGAAAGTTTGGGCGATGCTGGGCTGCATGCAGTGCCCCGATCTCCTCACGTCCTACTCAAACCGGTGCTGCATACACTCCAATTTTCTCGTTTCTAGCCAACCTAGCGGCCAACAAGGTCCCGAATCCGATTATGCGAGTTGATACTGTGCCACGATGTCTGGCCGATACAATCCCCCCAGCGCGTTTACGCTCCCGCCGGAGACTCGTTAAAAGTGGAGTGGGTTTAGACAGAGGCGTCTGGCGGGGATTTGAGGGGTACGTGTCGTTTTCTTATTCTAATGGCTGTGATTCTGATGCTGCGTAGAGGTTTTCACGAAAGCTATGGGCTCAAAGGGTGAATCAGGAAGAATCACACGCGTACAAAGACTCTACTCCGCCACTGAGGAATCGTCGGTGTTGTCGTTGTTCAGCCGCCGTCACTGGGATTCCAAGGGTCCTTTCAACCTCGAAACACCCGTGGTTCAAGCCGAGCCTCCGAACCTCCCTCATCAAACAGGTTTTCATCACGAGTCACCAATGTTTTACCTCTGCATCGTTCAGCTGCTGTCGCCTGGACATCCCTACCTGACCTCCCGCTGCTGCCCGCAATGGAAACGCAATCTAAAGGCCACCTTCGTCAACGTTCACTCGAATTGGAAGCTGTTGAGATTGAAAGGCGAAGAGTTATCGTATGGGTTCTCGCCTTCATTGGAAGAATGCCAAAGTGCATCGCTTCTGAGTGAGTTCCTCCTTCCATTGCATTCTTTCTACCTTACCTGGTCATCCCCTTCTGTGCTGCAACAAACCTTGCAGCAGTTTCCCCTTGTAGAGTCGATCTCTTCCTATATACTAATAATGTCCTCCCAGTTCTGGTCTTGGCAACGTCGTTCACGAGCCTCATGCTTCTACAGCCAACAAGACCCCCAATCTTAAGCGAACCACTGGTTTCTAGTGGTACGACAATTAGAATCTTGAATTTATGACCTTCTGGATGCTTACATTGCCACTGCAACAGCCCCACAATCCTTTTTGCTCTGCTTTCCATCTGCAAAGCCCGACTTAGCTATCCGCTCGTAACAACTCTGCATACGGATAGAGGAGACTCCTTGGTAGTTAGTTTTCTCCAGCCCCGTAGTCGACAGCCCCAACCCTAAACGTCATTTCCATTGCAGTGACCTAGCTAGCGTCTTTAACCATGCCCAAGCTCGACGACGCCAATACGCTCTCAAGAAGCTCCACAGGCCATGGTCGTCCGCCTGTTTCACGTCGTTCATCGGAACCTCGAGCTGGGAAGGGTGGAGAATAGACATTTTTGACTTCAGTGAGTTAGTTCCCCCCTCCTTTGTGCTTTTCTCTCTGCTTTGGCTTCCGAATCCCCTTATCACCTTGCATCCATTTGACCTTTTGCGCTCGGCTGACCGCCTTCGTCTTTTACTCAGGTTCCGATTCCACGACACCCAACTTTGCCGACCTCCATGATTGCATCGTCTTTCGCGTCCACCATTTGCACCCCTTCGTGCATCGGCCCGCGAAGGGGATATTGCCATGGTAGAATCCACCTACCTAAGCCGCCTCTACAGAGCTCGTGGATCCAGCATCACCTCGCCAGCAGCCACGGCAAATCTCTCAGATAGAGTAATTCGGACACTGCCGTCCGCCTGATCATAGGCGCAAGCTTGAGTCCCAGAGCTGTAGAGTGGGGATAACTCCTTCGGTAAGTCATCAGCCTTGCGTTACTTGTTCATTCGGTACCGTTCTCCCTTCCCCGGCTTTTGAATTCCTCGTCACCTTGCATCTATCTGATCTTTTGCCTGGCTGACCGACCTCCTTCGTTACTTAGGTTCTAGTTCCACAACACCAGTGTAATCTCCAGCTAGTGATCGCACTGTCTTTCGTCCACCACCATGATTCGCACAACTTGTACCCCTTCGTCCGTCGACTCAAGAAGGAGGGACAACAAGTGCCAAGCTCGTGGATTCGGTCTTCGCCAGTGGCCGCAGGCAAACCTCATGTACATCGATCGTCTGATAGGTTGCGCCCAGCGTGTGGTTGTTCGGCTATCCTTTTCCACCGAAGCTCAGAGCTGCTCAATAATCTTCTCATCGACGACCCACTCCGTCCTTGGCCATGTCCCAAATTGAGCAAAGGTTGGAATCAACGCCTATGAATCTGTGACTCGCCCTGACTTCTACTATTTGCAACTGCCTCTACGTGGTCAACTGTTTTCTTACTTCTTCCAGGCGTTCCACGCGCCGCTACGTACACACCACCCTACTACCCCATTTCCGTCCCGTAGTACAAGCAAATATCTCTCGTTGACATTGGACTCGGCATACATACTGAATAGATTCAACATCGTTACCATTTCATCTCCTAGATACCCCTTCATCTTTACTAGGAGAGCCTCTGTTTTCAAATTGTGTCCCTCGACCGTGGCAGACCTATCACCAGAGTTATCGTCGGGTAAACAAGCAGTCGCTTGGAATATCTCCATACTGAGTAAAGCGACGATTCGTCTGTAATGACGCTCGTGTGTTCAAGCTCTGCAGCTCGTTCAGGTGTCGACCTCGCATTTGTCAGTCAGCTCTGTCTCGCCATTCCGCGCCTCTACAAGCCTACTACTTGTGCGAAGGAGGTCTTCGCGTAGTAATGAAGCATTTCCTTCGTTCAACTCTTCATTGCCATAGTAAGCATGTGTTGAATCCGTCCCTCACTCTCGGCCTAGGACTTGGCTGCAGCTCCCTCTGCGGCCCTCAGTTCAATTTCTTCGTCAACTTGGTTCTCCCTCCGAGTCCGTGTAGCCGTATTTTCGCGCATACATTTATATCCAGCTCCCTCCCTCCTATCTCCCTTATCTCCTGCCACGTCATCGTCTCCCTCTTCTCCAATAATACAACCCACAAAAACGTACACCAACGGCTCACGTACGCCCGCTCATGCGTAGTCATCCGGGTATGATGGTTTAGGAGGCATTCGTTACAGGCTTTGGAGGGGGTTTTGTTCCATTTCGAGGGAGTGAGAGGGTGGGTCAGATTCGTGTGGCGGAGGATGAGCTCGGATTCGAGGTTGAGATTGCGAACGAACCGACTGAGGCGGAGAGGGGGAAGGAGAAGAGGAGGAGGAGGGAAGCAGAAAAGTGGAAAATTGCTCGGTGCTAGGAGGTCCTCTTGTCCTTTGGCCCACGAGCCTGGTCCACGCCAGGAACTCCGGAGACGGAAAAAGAATTCGCAGCACGTCGATTCACAGCCCTTTGACTGAGGGTGGTGGTCTTAGAGGGACAGGCAGCAATTGTGATTACCCATTGGGGCGACGAGGTTCCTTGGGTGGGTGAGGAGGTTGGGCGTTTTAGGATTTGGGAGGGGGGTCGTGGCGTTGTTGGATGTCCATCACATTGTCTTCAATATCTCACCTATACCGCTCTACTGACTGCGGCCTCGCGCACTTGAGGTTCCTCCATGGTAGTCTTCTATCGTTCTGCCTGCGACAGCACTACCCCACCATACCACCTCTGCACACTCCTCAATCGCGTTCCTGAAACCCATAGAGGCGCCCCCATCCATTCAGGACGCCGTATCGTATCATATCGAACTCGACCAGCCGTTGCCTCTCTCCTCCTTTCTCCTTTCAATGGCGTCGATTCGCCCTTCCTCCAGAATACCTCTGAGCCAGTCCAGCGTGTATGGAATCAACGTAATCCTCTGCACCGCTCGGTACACTTCAAGCTCTTTCTTTTGGCGAGTCACCGTGACCCTGATTTCAGGAGAGACAAGATCGAAGAGAAATCGGGTGAGCGATTGGGGTACTGTGAACGTTCAGCGCTCAACGCTCAATAGTCACCCTCGCTCGTGGACATTGGCCAACGACGAGAACCTCGCTTAACAGAGCCCCGGTCCGTCGCTTTTACAACGCGCTGAAACGAGGAGGCTATGCACATGTGGTACCTAGCTGGCCTTCCCATTGATCGACTCTAATCCAGGAAGACGGCTAAAGGACAACGACGTAGTGGAGTTCTGCAGCGAGAATAGGTAGAGGGGATTTGAGATGGGGAGGTAGGAGGCAACACGCCGCTGCTGAAAATGGTTGGGACGCAAAGAATCGCGGAGGAGGGTTGTGACGGTCAGTTTGCGAGGAGGCAGGAAAACGTGGGTGTCCGGGGAATACACTAGGACTTTTATAGAGCCAACTATGTAAAACAGTCGATCACTACCACCGGTTTAGAATAGGAAAGAATGTGAACTCACTTGACGTTCTAACCAACTTAACGGCCAAGACGAGGACTCGACGGGGCCGATATATCGGCACTTGAACACGACCTGCTGAGCTACCGCGCAGCACCTCTGGCCTTGAAAAAGGTTTACAGGTATGAATATAGGAAACGAAGGCGAACTCACTTACCTCGAAATAGGGTCACAATGGAAGGGCAAAATCAAGAAGAGGAAAGTCCAGGAACGGGCATAAGGTACCTAAAAATAGACCAAAACACGTGTTCCTCGTGGCATGGTTGGTGGGTGCCTAACGTCTTGGGCGCTCTTCTTTCCTTCCTTCCCTCATCCTGAACCTATCCACCTCCAGTATCTCAACATGAGCGGAGCGGGCGTTCTTGCGGGTTCTCACGACTTTGTTGCTCGCGACAACACGTTCATTGACAACTCTGTGATTAGAATGGTTATGTCTGGTGAACCAAACTGATAGCGTGAATCTCGGGCAGATGCACATCAATTATGGCAATAGGAAGACGTCCGATGGGGTCATTCCCCTCGTGCCGAATCCAAGCAATCGGTTCACAGGCCGCACACAAGTCATCGCCAAACTTGAGAGGCATTTTTCCAACACAAATGACTCAGCTCAGAGACGAAAGATCTTTCTGTTGTATGGAATGGGGGGTATTGGAAAGACTCAGATTTGCTTGAAGTTCATTGAGGAAATGTCTGGCTTGTGAGTATCATCAGAAAAGCAACCCTTATTTCTGAAATTTCAATTGCCTTCAGCTTCTCTTCTGTTTTCTGGATTGATGCTTCCTCAGTTGGCACCATCACTCAGGCACTCAAGGGTATCTGTAATCTTCCTGCAGCCCAGTCTAGTGGACTGGATGGCTCACCTGAATCTGCTCTTCACTGGATTGGCTTGCTGAAAGAGAACTATGTGATGGTCTTTGACAATGCTGATGTTCTATCACCTGCTGAGCTGGAGGCTTATCTTCCACCTGGAAGGGGGGGAAACATTCTGATAACTAGTCGCAACTCCACCATGAGGAATTTAACCTCACCTGAGAATTCTCTTGAAGTAGCTGAGATGGAAGAGAATGATTCTATTGAGTTACTTTTAAAAGCCAGTTACTTGGATCCATCTTCAATGGAGTTTCAAACTGAAGCTTGTGAGATTGTGAGGAAGCTCTCATACCTTCCTCTTGCTATTGATCAGGCTGGTGCTTACATTGCTTCTGGAGCCACCACTATTGGAAACTATCTTGCAAAATATTATGAGCATCAAAAAACATTATTATCTCATTCTGAATTTACTGGAGCTTCTAAGTATAACAGAACTGTCTATGAAACTTGGGAACTTGCATACAAAGAGATTCAACAAAGAACTAAATCTGGTGATTCTCATAAGACCAATGCAGCCAACAGTGCAA